CTTATATTTTTTATTCTTTATATTTATCAAAGTGATAATACAAATTTGAAGAGTTAGAAAAGGAAAAAAGAAATTATTGACATAATGTATCTATTTTACTATTTTAATGCATATTAAATATAAGATAGAATAAAAATGTATTATTTTCTTATTATATTATATCTTTATTCAACTCTAATATCTTATATTTTTATTCTTTATATTTATCAAAGTGATATTACAAATTTGAAGAGTTAAATAAGAAAAAAAGAAGTTGTTGATATAATGTATCTATTTTACTATTTTAATGCATATTAAATATAAGATAGAATAAAAATGTATTATTTTCTTATTATATTATATCTTTATTCAACTCTGATATCTTATATTTTTTATTCTGTATATTTATCAAAGTAAAAATACAAATTTGAAGAGTTAAAAAAGGAAAAAAAAAGTTGTTGACATAATATATCTATTTTACTATTTTAATGCATATTAAACATAAGATAGAATAAAAATGTATTATTTTTTTATTATATTATATCTTTATTCAACTCTGATATCTTATATTTTTTATTCTTTATATTTATCAAAGTGATAATACAAATTTGAAAAATTAAAAAAAGGGAAAAAGAAATTGTTGACATAATGTATCTATTTTACTATTTTAATGCATATTAAACATAAGATAGAATAAAAACGTATTATTTTCTTATTATATTATATTTTTATTCAACTCTGATATCTTATATTTTTTATTCTTTATATACATAAGAAGTTGTTTACTTGAATACTCACTTAATGTACTTAACACCAAAAGAAATATGAAAAAAATTTAATTTTAAAATTTAAAAGAAAAAGAAAAGAAAGAAGGAGAAAGGCAAGAGGTCTAAGGAAAAAAAAAAAAAAGGAAAAAATGAAAAATTCTATGTTAATAAGTTGTTACTTAAGTAAAAGATATCAATATTCATTTTGTACATGAATTTGTAGAATAAAAATTAAATTAGTAAAAAAGTTCAATTAGTTTTGAGAGTCCAAATAAACAAATATTATCTTGATTAATAAATTAAATTTGTCTCAAACTTAGACTACTTAGTAGATCAAGATAACATAATTTGGATTTTTTTTATGCAATTAAAATAAGTTTCACAAAATTTTTAGGGAACAAATGACAATATTATGCAACTAAGAATACACATGTAACAAAAAAGTAAAATTAGAGAGGGTTAATAATTTGGAGAAACCCTTAATAATGGAAAAAATAAATAAATTCATGTAACTTAATTTAGAAAAAATAAATAAATCCATGGAACTTAATAGGTATATCATAAGTCTTCTTAAAATTCTTAGGAATGTATTAAAAATTTAAACTTCACAAACAAGAATGCAAATAAAATATACCAAAATATCTCTTAATTAAAAGAATAACATAATAAAATTTGAAACAAAGCATAACACATTTGTGCATCAAAACATAACTCACTTCCTCCTTTTATTCCATCCTATTTATTATTTTAAAAGTTATTATGAAAAAGGAATATAGTAGAATTTAATAAAGTAAAAATAACTAAATTAGGATAAAATTAATGTTTTTTTTTTCCTTTCACCCTTATCTCATACTATAAAATTTTTGTGCTTCACCATCTTTACTGGTACTACCAAATCTATCATTGTTGTTGTAACATCCTCTTTTCATTTTTTGGTAATTTATATTTTGTTTCATATTAAGTAGTATTATAGTGCACTTAAAAGGAAGTATAGATGATTTTTGGAAGGAGTTTAGTGTAGGGGATATTGCTCAAGCGAGGTAAATCTTGCCCAAGTAAGACTGAGCATGGCAGGACTATCTCGCTCAAGTGAGATGCTTTTTGCTCAAGTGAGAAAGGATAAATGCAATCCAACTGTCACCTCGCCCAGACAAGAGTGAGCTTACTTAGAGAAACTAGGATCTTGCTCAGGTGTGGGTTGAGGGGTGTTTAAGAGATTTCTAGAATGAAAATTTTATTTCATTTTAAACTCACATCCCTCTCTTTATTTTCTCTGAACTCTCTCTTCTATTCTCTAAATAAAAGCCTCAGAAAACTCCAATTTTTCCTCAAATCCAAGCTTGGACGTTGAATCTAAATGACTCCAAATAAGTTTTTTCAGATCAAACTTAATTTTCTCCTATCGTTTTTCATATTTTGTTTCTTATGGATATCTCTCGGTACTCAGGAGAACTTCCATTGTTGATCCTTGATCCTTTTCAACATCTCTTTGTGAACTCATCTCCGAGGTAAGAAGGACTCTATTTTATCGTTATATTACAACATTTATTTTGTGTTGATTAGAGCAATGTTTCATGAATATTTTGTGAGAATATGTGATTGAGATACCTTTTGCGTGAATAATGGATGAAAAGGTGCTTGTTTGATTGTTTGGATTGATTGTTTGTTTAGACTAAGTGGTTGGTATATGCATTATATGATGAGTGCTTAATTTGAAATATGATTAAACTTGCTGAGTGATTATTGTGAGATTTTATGAAATATGTCTGCGTAAAATGATATTGATATGGAAGAATTTAACAGTTGTAACTATATCAATAAGTGTATGAGTGGAATGGATTAGAATGAAATTAGTCTGGAAGTGCTTTACTAAGCACGATCTTATGAGTGAGAAGAAAAGATAACTTTAAGAGTCAAATATAGATTGAATCTAGTGTGAATAGTTACAGAGATACATTAGGGGTATAGAGTCCAGATACGATGAAAATATAAGGGAAATGTAGGGTGGTGAGCGACATTCACGTATGTGCACACACTCTTTCTGAAAGCGAATGCATCACATGGCTTCACACTCGTTTCCTGACTAGACTCCTTACTATGCCTTTGCTAAGGGGCCCAATTATTGTACATGTTGTATCCATGTGCATGGATTAACCGACGATTATTTACCTAATTGAGTAAGACTTCAAGAAATGCTGGAGGCATCTATACTTGTGATTACAGTGTACTGCAGTGAGTATTGGAATGAGAGAACAGATAATAGATAATAAATTGTGAATGATGAGTGAGTGAATATGTTTGCAATGTGAATTTATTTACAAATGGTTGTATTGCTTTTATACTATAAACTATGATTTTGTGATATAATTTATGAAAAAGGATAGAATAGATGCTCATCCTTACTAATATTTTCAGGAAAATAGAATGATGGAGCCTCAAGGAAGAGTTATATTAGTAGATAGTTCAGTACATAATAGGTTAAATTATGTATTTAATGAATATCAAAGACTTTATTATTTTAAATTTGTTGTTCTTGTAGAGGATGAACTTAAGAGTTTTGTTATGTTAAAAATGAATTTCTTTTGTAGTATTCCATTTGATTTTCCTAGGACTAGAATATATCAGACTCTGTGTATATATGTATAAGGGTACTATTAGAACTCCAGCAGTTCTCACCTATTTATTTACTTACCACGACCATGACTCTCATTGAAGACCGTTCAAATGGACATTTGAGCGAGTGACTGGCACAGAGGTTACGACTGATTCAGGTGATCGTTACTTGGGATCAAATGATGATCTGGATTCAAAAAATTTAGCCGAGATAGAGAGCTAACATGGGGTTAATGAATAGGACTGGTCTTCAGTGTTGGCTTATGTTTGAGACTGCTCTGAGATTTAATTTTGTATATATTGATGTGACTATTTTGTTGATGTAAATTATTGTAATTGATATAAGAAATGCATGTTCAATTTCTTAAATCGAATATTTGACTATGTTTTATCATTGTCTTTAAAAGTATTGTGGTTCTATTTATATTGCATGTATAGGAAAATTTTATTTATAATAAATCTATTTATAAAGTAACTTTTATTAACATGTTATAATAAGACTTATAAATTCTGTTTTGTGATATTTATTATTAATTATTGTTATTGTTCTACCATTAATATTACCGATTCTATGAATTTTTTTTTTATAAATAACCATATCTTATAAAAAATTTAATTGATTAATTATGATAAAGTTTATTATGCATAAAATTCGTATTTTATATCAAATTATAAAGAATGAAATATATATTGTACGAATTTAATATATTAGGATGTTACAGTTGCCACCCATATCAATTAAGCAATAATGATTAATGAAACATTAATTTAGTTAATTTTTTATTTTTATATTTCATTATTATTAAACTATTTAATAAGTTTCTTAATTTTTTAAATTTTAAAACATTCATTTATTTTGGTTATCTTCACTCAAAATGGCGTCTAATTGAAACCTTAGCCCGAAAATAAAAATCATATCGAAACATTGACTCGTAAATATTTTTTTATTAAATTATCTATAAAGAATTTAAAAATCAAAACCTATGGAATACAACACAATTAATATTTTCAGAACGAAACTTATTTGATCTTTTATTTCTTACGCATTCTATATGTTCTTTAACTTTTTCCAATATTGGTTGTTTATAGCTCATTAATTTTGTTTTACTTAAAAAGTAATTAATTTATCAATAAGTGAAAAGATACAGATAAAGTGTTCACAATAATATTTTGAAATACTATTGACGGAGCAAAAGATTGGGTAGTTGATATTTAGGCCCAATGTAGATAAGAAGCTTGATGGGCCGAACAGTTCCGCTGGAACAAAGTGACGATACACGAAAGCCTTTTGATTTGATTTTACAGCGAACGAAAAAAAGGACCACAGAAGCACCACAGTCGCCGAACCCCCCAACTGTGTGCGACTTCGAATAGAGACCGAGAACGCCGATACTTAGGTAAATGAGAACTTGAATTCGAAATTTTACCACAGATCAGATATGTAGTAGTTTGGATCCATTTTCGCAACCGTACAATTCAGGCGTTTCAGAAAAACCTTTATTTTTTCATGTGGTTGCTGTCCTCTGTGATAGATCTGGTTTGGATTGGATAGTTTTGTTTTATTTTATTTTGTGGTTGTTATATTTTTTTAGAATTTTTTATTTTATTTTAAAGTTGTGCCAAATTGTTTACGAATGCTTGCTCACTATTTGTATCTAGAATTTAGTAGAAGCAAAGTTACTTGTAATGGTAGAACCTGAATTTGGAGTGTTAGAAAGTGAATGGTCAATGACTAGTGAACGAGTCACTCAACTGAGCTGAGATTACCTAGTTCTTTGATCCCTTGCTTATTTTCTTTCTTGCTTAACGTTACTGATTTTATTGCTTCTTTTTATTTTGCATCTACATACACATTTACTACTTTCTGAGTATGCAGTTTTAAATAGAGAAAACTCAATAATCGCTGTGGCAGTGGTGTGTTAATTTGTTGTGTAACTCTGAAATTTCTCTATTTTGAAGGATTGGTTGGGAAGGGTGTTTTTTGGGGAAAGGAAAGGCAGGGAAAATTTTTCATTTTAAATGAACTTATTTTAATTTGATAAATTTTTAAATAAAATATATAAAATGATAGATTAACATAAGTTTAATGTATTAATCATCTATTTGTTATCATCAATGTTGTATAATTCTATTACTTTAAAAAATTAAAATTTTTCCCTTCACTCTGTTTCTCTCCTAAAATTCCTTCCCAAACAACCCATAAGTTCATGATACAGTATTTATATTTATACTGTTGATGTGACATTTGCTGACTATTGGGCGGTTCACTAATGCTAATAATATTTAGGTTAATCAGAAAGACCCAACATTCCAAAATTGCAGACAATCAAGTCATGAATATAAAATACATTTTTTAACTTTTAAGGAGATCCTAAACCAGCAACTCTGGTAATTTAGTTGATGCTATGGACACATTAACGTTTTTACCTGTGTTAAGCTCCATGGCATGCTGATTATCTACTAAGAAAGTACTTATAGAAGTCATATTGCAAAACTGAATAATGATTATTTATAGCTGTGCTTTGTGAAGTGAATATGATAGAAAATAAGTGGGGAAATGGATTCTGTTTACGTGAAGTATTGTGATCTGTTTTGTTTCGTATTATATATTATATAATGTTTGTTGCTGCTGAGTGACTTTGCGTCATATTTCTGTTTTCTGAATTTGCAGTCTTTATATTAAAATCTGAGACTTGAAGGGAAGCTGTGGTACTTGGCCCAGTAGTAAAACAAAAAGTATATTTGTTGTAGAATAAGTTTTTCCTTGATTAGGGAATTTAATGAATTTTTTTAATTTGTAATTTTGTATATTAGAATACTTAAATTCTTGACTATTTCCAATTTTCTTGTGTTAATGAGAAGAACCTTGTAAGAGCCAGGTCGTCATAAAAGTTAGCCATTGAAGTTGAAGATTCCAATGCCTTATAAACCCGATACTAAAATCTCATAATTCCAATGTTGGACTCACGTTGGATACATTGGAATTGGATTCTAAAAGTTACCAAATTGGTTTGAGCATTTTATTTTTGACAGCAAAACAGTAGTGACACATATTAATCTATTAGGAGACGGATGTTGGTTGTGCTATTTTTTAACAAAGGGAGAACAATGTAATTTAAGCACTTATTTGGTAATGTTAGTGTAATCTACCCTATTTATTTTTCTATTCTTTTAATAAGGAGTCATATAATGCGTGACTAAATGTTTCTGTTTTTATACAGGCTTTGGGCGTTTAAACAAGTCTGATCAATATCCAAGTTTGCTTTCTCATATATTTTTTGTTACGGTCCTTCTATGGCATATCCTTTCTCAGATTTCAAGTACTCTGATGGCCTCACTGTAGTGGGTATCTCCTTCTGCACAGCTATTGTCTGTGAGGCCATCTCATGGGTTCTAATCTATCGCACGAATTCTTACAAGAACCTCCGGTCCTCCATTGATAAAGCCTCCAAGAAACTTGAGACCATGAAGACAGACAGCAACAAAATCAACATAAAAAAGTCAAAGACCAAAAAAATTGACCGTGTGGAAACAAGCCTCAAAGAATCGAGTCGTGACTTGTCTCTCTTCAAGTTCAAGTCCGGGGGTGTGGTGGCTCTGGTTCTATTTGTGGTCTTTGGGTTACTGAATTCACTCTTTGAAGGCAAGGTAGTTGCCAAATTGCCCTTCAAGCCTTTTGGGCTTATTATGAAGATGAGCCATCGAGGGTTGCAGGGTAATGACCCCACTGATTGTTCCATGGCATTTCTATACTTCTTGTGTTCAATTAGCATCAGGACAAATTTGCAGAAATTCTTGGGTTTTGCACCACCAAGAGGTGCAAGTGCTGGACTCTTCCCCATGCCTGATCCAAAGACCAGTTGATTGGGTTTAGTGTTATATTTAAACTCTTTATCTAGCTATTTCTAGATTGCAGATTATTGGAACTGCTTAACTTCAGACATTTATATTTGATTTGGTTCTCTTAGGGAGACAAGCATGATTTTAATAGGTAACTGATACTTGAAGCAGTCAACTTCAGTTTTACAATGATTTGCTTGTTTTAAGTTTTGATTTAATTGCAATAAAGACTCTTCTCGTCTATGTTACCATAGAAATGGAGTTTTTATTCTCTCTGAGGCCCCCCTCCCTACCAGAGTCCAGAATTTTGTTGTTTTTACTATCTCTTACAAGAGGGGATAGAATTGTCATTATAAAGTAACTATTAACGTCATCTATATGTTATACAGTTGTTTGTTTCCTTACAGACTATCAATGAGATTTGCAGAGTTGCTAAGATTTTCGCGTTTTTTGTACGAAAGTTGATCCATTGAGTTATTTGTTTAAAGCTCCTTGCACATTTTTTGGTTTTTAATGTGGCCTTCGATGGTTTTCGGTAGGAACTTGTGTCAATGATTTGCTTGGACATTGTTATTTTGAGATTCAGCTCAAATATCGATAATCCTATGTAAAATATTAGGTCTTTCAGGATTCCTTAATCACTTGGACCTAATGAATTTTAATATTTTATGGCACAATGAATAGTGTGTTTAGAATGCTTTTTATTTTTTTATTTTTTATGATTATGTAAAAAGGTTGTTAAAGACACTTCTCAATCTTGTTTGATATTTATTAGACTCTTAAGATATTTAATAAGTAATGTGAATTATGGGTCTTATTTGGTGACTTTTTCGATGTATTAAAAGGATAGAAAGATGCTAGTTGGATTTAAGATTCAAATGTGACCAAATTCACTAATGGCCATGTGTTCACACTGAGAACTAATGCAATTACTTATATTAAGGGATGTAATTACTTAGATTGATTGAGACATGACGTGATAAAATAATTACTAAGAGATGTAATTACTGCTATTGACTATGTGAAGTCAAAATTACATATGACCGATTCTTTGAAGCAATCTTTAGTAAAATGGTTGATAACAAAAATATTAAAGAAAATGAGACTTTAGCTATTTTAAAAATTAAAGATAATGAGAACTCAACCTTTATGATTGAAGACGACTAAATTCATTAAAGTGAAATTATGCTGCTTTCCTCTCCATTTAACTTTATAAAAGTTTGATCCTCAATTGTTTGGAGCATTTAAAAAATTGAACACTTGGATTAGTACTGTGTTATTAAAGTTAAAAAAAAAAAACAATATTGAGAGGGGAGAAGCATGGGTGCTTCTATGCAATTGGGCTTTTCTTAAGTGCACGTTGGACTTGATATGTGTCATCATTTTGGTTTGTTTAGTAACATGGTTTATTTTATTATAATTTTATTTACTTTTTCTGTATTTCTGTTGCTCCCTGTTATTCATTATTTAATTTAGTTTATTTGCTAAAAAGTTAGGAGTTTTTTTAATTGCAGTATGTTTTGTGTTTTTAGAAGGTAAAACTACCAAAAACTTAATTAATCTTTTTTTGAATGATAAAATAAAAATATTTAAATTTTCAGGTTGATTTGATTTATTTTGTTTCTTCTCTTGATTGTTATTTTTATGTTCCTTGATTGAAATTAGCTTATTTAAACAATTTTTGAAGAGTAATAACCTAAAATGCTTCTTATAAATTGTTGGACCTATTTTAGTACTTAAAAAAAAAAATAATTAAATATCACCAAATAATCTTTGAAAAATTATTTCATGAGATAAGTTAGTCTCTTTATTAAATAATGTTTAACTTAATGAAGTTGATTATGTGGCCTATTAACTAGGAATCAGTAAGTTCCATCTTATAAGTTTCAAAAGTTTATTTTTAGATTCCAATTAGTCCCTAAAATAATTTAGAAGAGCTAATTTAATTCTAAATAAATGATCATTGAAATGGGACCAATTTGGATATAGAAAAAACAAGATTTCAAAAAAATAAATAAATTTATAAGATGAAAATTATTGATATCATCTTAGTTAATTGACTAGTCACGCAAGTAATTCTATTGAGTTAAAAAAAATGACATTTTAATGAGAGGCTACCCTGTCTCACAAAAAATTATTTAAAAAGAGTATTTAGTAACTTTTGTTATTTTAAAGACTAGACTAGGTTTAACAAACTCTTTCAGGGGCTAATTTTGGTATTTATTTATTTACTTTAAACCATATTTTAAGTATTTATACTAATTCAGATTTATATTTTAAAACTTGCGTGATTGCATTGAGTTATATGTGGAAATATGATTTACCTAATTGTTAAAAATAGTTTTTGTTTAGATAATTTTCAAAACAGATAAAATAAATCTACTTTAAATTGGAATATAACATAACTGTGTTCCCAAACTGAAAGCTCCAGATTAAGGTGGAACACAGCGAGGGGTTTGTGCATTTATGAGAATTTTCTCTCTGAAAAAACAAAACTGGGTGTTAAAGAGATACGAGGTTCCAACAAAAAGCACAAAGTAAGGATGGATAAAGTATAAATGCGACGTGACAGCGATGATTCCAAGCGAATTTCGTAGCAATGATGAACAAAGTCGAAGAGATTCTTCATGTATACATCGAGGATATAGAAGTCACAATGCAAAAAGTGTTTCTTATGACTGTATTAAAGGAATAAAATTATCATAATTAAAAAAATGCAAAAGTAAATTATTTAAGTCAAGATGCCTATTTTTTTTTTACTGATATAGAATATCAATTCCATATTTCAAATTTAAAAATCAAAAGTACTTTAATTAAGACTATAATAATCTTAAAATTTAATATATTTAAAGAAGAAAATATGTTAAATGTATAATATAACATATCAAGATTTTAAATAAAATAAAATAAAATTATTTCAAAAAATTATTAAAAATAAAATTTAAAAGAAGTCTTATTCAAGAAAAAAAAGGATTTATAACAGAGAGATAAATATAAGTAATTTAACTTTTAAATTTTTTATTAAAAGAGAGTCCTCTCATAATTCAAAATTGTCATACCATTCTTAAAATAGATTTCTTCAATTCAAAAAACAAATAACTGTAAAATGAATATCCAGGACGTAAGTGAAGTCTCGTTCAATAAGAAGAAGAAAAAAAAGTAGAGAGAGGATTTACGTTATCGGTAAAGTAATTTCTAAATTAAAAAGAAATTTTATGTCCTTACATATGTATATAATAATTATTGTTAATTTATTAATTTATTTAAAAAAGACATAAATATATTTTATATTTTTAAACTAATAAAAGAATAAAAAAATACCATGTACTTTTTTCAAATTTATGATTACCGTAAAAGTAAAATACCTTATCATTGATTCACCTGAAAAATGTACGTCGCTTTAAACTCACGTAAATATTTGGAAACATGGATAATTGATATTGAGCTGGGAGAAAGAAATTCTTAGATATCGTTGTGGATTACTTTAATTAAACGGGTCGTTAATTTTTCTCTTATTTTTTGGTACGGCATTAATTTTTCTTATTTTACCTACGTTGTAATGTTCCAATAATACGAAAATATAGTAATATACAATGATTAAAGAGAAAGATATATTTCTAATTTCCAAAACACTTATTTTTGCATATGAAAAGGAAGCTACAAAAGAAAAGAGAGAAAAATTTATTTGAAATTGAATATGTACGTATGAACTATGACTTTTTTTCTTCTCTGGGAGCAACCATAATCATCGTTTTTTGTCTCTCTTGAAATAATTATTAGAAAGAAGAGAGATTTTATTTAATTTTTGATTTAACTCTTGTATAAGTTGAAATTAACTTCTCCTTCCACCGCAACCGCGTTCTCTTTGGCAATTGAAATAAGCTGCTGCGACAGGTGCAAGATTATTAATTTCAGCAAAGTTTCTGGTATTGAAATTATGACGCCATTCTGGGGCGAAGACAGTGTCTCTGCCCAATTGCTGGAATAACACAAACACAAGTCGATGAATCCCTGCCGAAGGTTGCGGGCTCTCATAGAACACTACCTCTTTCCCTGCATATATCTATTGTCACCGTCTAGACACATGTACATAAACATCAAAATGCAATCTTTGCTATAATGTAAATGCAGTAATTATAAGATTAAATAAATGTTTAATCCTTAAAATATTATGATTTTTTATTTATATTTTCTATTTTATTTTTGCTAAAATTTGAAAAATCATATAATTTAAGTTATTGGTGAAGAACTAAATTGACATCATGTTTATTTAATAGAACCACCAAAATGGAATAAAACTTTATAGTAGAAAACATGATATTTTTAGAATTTATTTATTTATTTAAACTTAACTAAAATTACAGTTTAAAATTTATGTAAATTCTTTGATATATGGATAAATGTGTGTAACATGTTAGAAACAAAAATTTGTCCTTTTGTAAAAGAGAGAGTTTTCTACATGAATGATTAAATTATTAAAGTTATGCTAATAGAAAGAAGGAAACAAAGTAATAATTTTTAAATGTAGAAAAGTATTAGATATATATTTTTTTATTGTATATTCAAAAATCAAATTAAATTGTGTAATAATTGCATTGAAATAAAATATGAGTTTTGTTAACCTCAGTTTTAAGGCTGAGGATAAGTAGCTAATAATAGTAAAATTTTAAGAGAAAGATGAGTATTTATTGTATTTTTATAACTTTAATATAATAACTATGAATTTTTTTATAAAAATTTTCTATTTATAGATACTTAAACTCAGTTTTAAAAATTGAGGTTAACAAAATTCATAAAATATTTTACTAAATATAGGTTAAATTATTTCATAAATCCTTTAAGTATTTAAAATATTTTAAATAAGTTATTATATTTAAAGACTTATAAGTAGATCTTTTAATTTTAAAATTATTTTTAATTGGTGTCTAATCACATTTCTGTTAGAGTTTCATTAAGTTTAATAACTTAAATAAAAAATTAATTAGTTCATAAGTTATTGAACAATTAAATTTGTGATATATCTTCCAAAGTATTGAAATTTTTTAATTAAGTATTTATATTTGATGAATCTCTAACAAAATCCTAATCGAGAGATTGAAATAAAATTAGTTTGAAGATTTAAACATCTAATTACAAACATTTAAAGCGTAAAAATAAGAATCCATTTAAAAAATCTTGAAATAATTTAGAGACTTGTAGATTAATTTGCCCAAAATATACGATCCTTCTTGGACGAATCATTTGGTAGACGAATGCAATATTGCTTTTCAACTCGATAAAAAATGCATAAAAAAGTGTATAGTTGAGGCACAATCTGGCTAGATACTTGTTTCTTTGTTTGCTTACACTTTATATATATATATAGTAATTAACAAAAAGTAACTGTAATGTAATGTTCTCTCAGTAACCTGCACTATTCATAAATTTGAACACTTGGATTTAGATGTAAAAATGGATAAAACTCGTGTTTATTTGCATAATTTTCGACAAACTACACATTTTAAAGTTTGTTTAACATTTTTACATTTTGTTTAATTATCAAGGATCGAACTTAACATACAGTTTTTTTTTTCTGACGTTCTTAAAAACTTTTTTTTTTCATCAACTTCAATTCGCCAGTTCACAAAAATCAATATGCAGTTACTATACAAATGAAAAAAAAAAAGACAGAAGAAGGTTTGGTTACCCTTGTATCCTCTTAACATATTTTGTTTTTTTCTCTTTAAAAAAACCAAAACCAAATTATCATTTTCTTTCATAATATTGAAATGTACGATAGCGAGAAGAGGGCTTAATTGTCAAGTCAAATGGACTTTGCCTCTCAAGTCCCAAATCTAGCCGAACAAAATAAATAAATAAATAAAAATCATGGCACGTGAATAGAAAGATAATTATAATAGTTTCACAAGAAATAATAGTTGAATAAAAATGGTCGACCAATAAATGCTTATCTTGTTCTAATCTACTTTCCTGGAAATTGATTTATATAATATAGTCACTCGTTCGTCAAATTTACTTTAATTTTATCTCTTCAGTAATCAAAATTTGACTCAAATTCGTCTCACGAGGACTAAATTGACATGTATGAATTTCCAGGCTTTGATCGATGAGGAATTAAATTATAAAATTTATGTATGGAACTAAAAATTAAACTGAATAAATAAATGAAAAATTAAAATAAGGCTTTTGTCTTTTGTTTTACTTCATAATAATATTAAGTTTTCTGATTGATGCATGCAGCAGGCGAAAGTGAAATTGATATAAAACCAACTACATTAATACCGCCACAATAATACTTGCAGATGAACATATACACAAGCAACTAGGACATGGATATTTGTACGTACCGAAGGTTGCATTTGTGGTGGCTGGAATATCTGTCACCATCCTGCGACTCATCAAAAGGAAAAGAATGATGAAAACGAATATATATATATATTAATAAATATAGGTCACAAAATCTAAAAAAATTGAACACATGTATGTGTATATATATAAGTTTAGGCTTTAAACTTTAGTTACATTCATTCCCAGGAAATTTTGGGATTTCACCTATGCTTCTACCACAGATAGAAAAGAGGGACACTAAAGCAATCAAGGCAACTCACCAGTGCAGGTATTCTCTCAAGACAGGGTTACTAGGGCTAGGTGCATCTGCATCCACCATAACCTGAAACCCAACCACAAAATTATTTAATGCAATTAACAATTTTATAGACCTCTTAAAAGAACTAATGAAAATAATTTACGACTCTTAAAAGTGTTTCTCAACTTATTTTTATAAGTTATTTAGTATAACTTATCAAAATAAACACTTTTGACAAGCTTAATTATTTCAAGAATTTTTTTGATTAAATATAGTATAATTTCTTATATAATAGAAGTTTATTGAATATGTGTGTATTGTCACCGGGTACTAATTAACTAGTCACCGCTATTACTTACCAGTGTGTAGAAGGTCCTGAGGTCTTCACCACCAACAGTAACTCTTGGGCGATTAACTACTTGAGAGGGCCTCAGTTCACAACCATTGCTGATCTCTCTGTTATTGGTGACAATCCTCATAGAAACGGAGCTTGTAAAAGGGTTCAGAACATCCCCTATCACACCCCCAACAACAAGAGGGTCTCCATCCCGTGCCATGATGTAGATATTTCAACTCGATTTGTTTGGAGCTCTTGTTATGTTTACATTGCTATATATATTTACCTCCTTAGAATCTGCTTTTCCTTCTGTCCCATCAATAAATTCTCCATTTTTTCTGTGTTCTCTTACCATGGGTTGATTGGATTTTTAATTTAGTATGATGAATTGCTTTCTATGTATAATAAACTCATTGGTCCACCACTTTTCTTCCCCCCTTTTCATCAGACGAAATTTGTTTGTGCGGGGCCATAGTTGAAGTTTAAGGTAGAGATTTTGGATAAATTTTAAATTCAACTCTTAATAAAGACTTTTTATTCAACTTTTATATAATAGATGTTGTTGCTTGTACCTAGCTCATACATGTACACAAAAATCTAGTGATAAATTTGTGTTTCCAATTGATCTTTATCAAGTGATTTTCATAGGAAAGTATTTTCTGTGAAGTGTTGCTATTTACCATTCTGTGTGATCACTGAAGACGGATTATTTTACATCAATTTTTTTTTCACTCAACTTCTCTTTCTCTCACACACAAATAATATAAAATGATACACACATTTATACTATTTAATATGTAAATTTTCATAAAATGCAAGATTAATGAATCTAATGGTTAGTTTGAGGTTTTTATCAAATAGATTAATTTTTTAAAATTTATATAAAAATAAAATTATTAAATACTTTACCAGATTACTTTATTTTAATGTGTAGTAAATTTTTTAATTATAAATAAATATTATTCGTGTGAATAGATTCTATCTCTCTCTATTTATATTACATTATTTTTTATATTTTTATTATCTCTCATTAAATAAGTAAAATATTTAATGGATATATAACAGTTTTCCTATTAACAAGCGTGGTGTGAAACAGACATTTTTCAAGAATTTCCTATAAGGTTTCAGTGGTCATTTTAGGACTTGTTTTCCTTTGAAAATTTTCAGGCCGAAAAACTCATCCATTATATGTATACATGTTAGCAAAATAATAATCTTGAATGGTTTCTTTCAAAATTCATATTATAGGCACCGTGTTCCTTTCGCGAAACAAAATACCAAATCTCACCAAAATACCAAATCCATATTCTTGGACAAAAGACAGAATTTATTTTAGAATTAATGAACTTTTGCACGTCTCTTTCTTTCTTTAGAATACCTTGTCTTCCTATAGCCAGTTTATGTGCAATGCAAATCTCCAGTTCATAGAATCTTATTCTCCTCTCTATCCTTACTAAGCTTTTCTTTAATCAATATATAGGCTCTACATTTCGTGGTATATATATTTCAGGAATAGTATATAAATAGTATATGTGGCCTCATATGCATGAATTTGACATTCAACCGGAAACTAAAGAACTTCAATTACGTAAGTGGAAGAAGTGGGACTTTTCTGAAAATGAATATATATAATATGCGCACTCATGTATAATGCGCTAGCTTTATTTGATACTAGAATATATGTACTAGATTTTTGATATGATATGATATGAGAAAATTATTTGATGAATTTGCTATTGCTTTTAAAGAGTTTATTTTAGGCTAAATTTATGTGTAAATGCAAAAAGCTCTCTTTTTCTTCCAACATCTTCCTGTGATTCAAAGGATATGTCACCCCTGTTATGACTCAAGCATACGAGACTCATAACACATCTCTTGAATTTGGTTTAAATCTTTAGAGAGTTCTCTAATCAATTTTTTTAGATGTTTCTATTTAGAAATTATTAATTTGTTGTTTGAATTTTTCAAGGTTTAATTTAGTAAGAGATAAGGGATGCATTTTTACTTTTATGAAATTGCAATATATATGTATATATACATGGAGCAAAAACTTCTTACACTAGTGTAAGTCTAAAAATTTCTACATCGCTTTATATTTAATTTAAATCTAACGGGTTATAATTTATTACTTTATTAGCCGTTAGATTTAAGTTAAATGGAAGACTCAGATTAAATGTAAGAGTTTTTAGATTTACACTGGTGTAAGAAGATCCTTCCTCTCTTTGTATATATAAAATAAAAACTTTTATGAAATCGCAATATCTTACATTTTTTTGTTTATGCTAATTTTCACTTTTATAAATTCCATTAGGAATTTAATATGTTAATTTTACATCCCTTCTAACATTCAAGATGCTTATTGGTGATATTTTGTATGTATTAACTTAAAAATTACTAATGAACCGTGATTTTTTTTATTCCATTGTTTTTCTTAATTTTCTTTCCCATTGTTTTTTTTTTAATTTTTAAGTGAGATTATTTATACCTTTATCGAAATAAGAAACAAAATCTGAGATTGAAGGAAGCTTCCTTGGTTAGAGATATGTATGCTCCGTCTCTTTGTTTCTCAATTTTGTGTATAAGAATGAATTAAAAGAAGTTTAATGATCAAGAATATGTTTATTCTATCTCTTTATTTTTTTTATTTTTTGTTTAAAAACATTGAGCTTAACAAGCAAGTTCATGTATTTATATTCCTGATCACTTTTAGTGTTTCAGTGTAAGAGATCCAATGAAGCTCTACTTCAACTCAATGAAGATCTACTCACAGTTTTCCGTCCATCCATATAAAGGGTTAGTCTCGATAAGTCAACCATGTCAAAGGTGAAGCAATTTTTACAAATTCCCTTATGAACCTTTGGTAATAACCTACTAAGCTCACGAAACTACGAATTTCCATAACAGTCCTTGACAAAGGTCAACTGCAATATTGACTCCACTTTTAAACGGTCAACTGCAATTCTTCTGACAGAAATTACATAACCAAGGAATTTTACTTCCTCAAGCCAAAACTCACATTTAGATAGTTTGACATACAACTATTTTTCTTTCAAAATCTTTAGAATAATTTTCAAATATTCTGCATGTTCCTCCGGTGTACTAGAATATATGAGGATATCATCAACAAAGACAACTACAAACTGATCCAAAAAAGATCTAAAGATTCGATTTCTGTAGTCCATGAATACCTCTGAGGCATTGGTGACTCCAAAAGGCATTACCACATACTTATAATGGTTGTACCGAGTGTGAAAAGTTGTGTCATGACCCCTTTTTGAAAAAGATTTATGACATACTATCCAATTAACAGCTGTAAAAATTTTAAGCTTTGAAAAGAATTAATATATAACTTAGGACGATTAAGGGAAATAAAATGAGAGCTCACGTTTCGATGATAAAATAAAGTCTCGTTACAAAAATTTTAAAAAATATATGTATATATTGTAATACCTTAATTTAAATTTTCTGAATAAAGAAATTTTCGCAACAAATGGGAGTAAATAAAATTACATTTAATTAGTTCTCAATACATAGTTTCATTAAAGTATTTCAAAATAAGGATGACTTACAAGTTTGAATTAAATTATTGCTGCAGGACTTAATTAATACATCATAATTTCAAAATAATTTTTCTAAGTCCTATAGCAGTTTCATCCATCCCTTTCACTGAGCCTGGTGGTGATTGTCTTGGTCACCTGAAAGATAAATGTAAGGGTAAGTACTCTACACTATCACACACAAGCACAGAGACTCACCTTGCACGTTTCACACATTTATTAACATTATTCAAAATCATGCATCAAACAGGCATAAATAATACATTTCAACATTCTATTCCAACTCGCACAAAGGTGCGCTCATTGCACCATCAAACAATCCACACATACGTGCGCTCACTACGCGTAGCCTACGCTCATTGTGGCATTGTGATTACAGATTTCTGATTCCCTCAACTTCAATGGCTTACTCAATTTCACACAATGGATGGTTGCCGGATAGCCCCCACTTCATGAATACAACATGTGCAGCACTGGGCCCCCAAGCAAAGGTGTTAGTAAAAGGCCAAGTTAGGAGGATAGTGTGTGGCTTGTGGTGCACCCACGCTCACTATTGGTGTCATCACCACCCTCTTTTTTCCAAGGTACTTCTACTGCCCCCATCTTCCACATTTCCAGTGTATTGCTGAACCATTAAAAGTTTTCCAACATATTCAAACACAACCAACATGCCATTCACATAGATTCACCCATTTCATATTGTTCATCATCCATCAATGGCATGCAACTAGATACAATCACCCACATTTTCAATCACATCATAGTTTTCATCTTCACACATCACAGATACACACATAATCGGTCACATTACACTTAAACACACCATAATTCCATCACAATCCTATGACAATCAAATTCATTTCATCACATACATCACCCAATAACTATCCTATCATATTTCACACGAAATTTCCACTAAGGTACACACTTTCCTACATTCTATCTCAACCACATTTCATTATCTAGCTCTAACAACGAATTTCAAACCAAAGAAATAGGGTAGAGTCCCCTCTTACCTCGGATTGAAGACCCAATACGAAACAATAGTAGAAACGTTCCCCAAACGGTGCTTCATCCCTAAAAGATGGGAAATCTCCATGAGAATTCAAGAAAACAAAGAAAGGGACGAAGGAATGAAACCCTAGCCTATAAAACTTACCTCCAAGCGTCCCAAACACGATTCCAACCTTCAATCTTACTCCCAAACGGCTTTGGAAGTAGTTTAATCGATGGAAATGGGTTTAAGGTCAGAGAGTCATGAGAGGAATGAGAGGGAATGTAAAAATGCATTTCCTTGAACCCTAAGCCCCTTAAATACTCATTCTGGTCGCGATATTCTTGTTGCAGCGACACCCTTTCTCGCTACAACAAAAATATCAGAGGAAACTACACTCTGGTTTCTACAGAATCTCGCTACAGTAAGGCCCTCTCGCTACAATGAGACTGCAACCCAGAAATGCACCCATTTCTGTGCCTTATCGCTACAGCGAGGAGATCCTCACTACAACGAGAACGCAATAGAAGCATCCCCTTTGTCCAGGACACTCTCGCTACAGTGAGAATGCCTTTGCAGTTCTTACTCAGCCTATGTTCTTAATCACTCCAACTCAACCACCAGTCAAACATTCTCAATCAATTCACATATATTCCTACACACGTATTTGG